TTAATGATTTCGGTTGAAAATCTTGGAATTCTGATTGTATCTTCCAAAAAATGGCCAAATCAATCCTCAGATTTAAACCCAATCGAGAATCTGTGGCGTCTTTCAAAAATTCAATTCCAATCGAGAGATCTAACAAACATCCTGGAACTGAAGACTCTATGCAAACTAGAATGGAATAAAATGCCAACTAAAATTTGTAAATCATTAATTGAGAACTACAAGAAGAGGTTGGTTGCCGTAGAAGTGAATAATGGCTATTCTACAAAGTATTAAATGAAGATTATACATTCTTTTTTGTGTTGTAAGAATACTTTTTTCACCATTAAAATAGATAAATGTTTTGTTTTCTATGCATATTTAGTTATTATGCATCTGTGTACTGTTAATTATATGAAAATTATGTTTATTCATTAGTTGGTAATATAATAAATTAAAAATTTGTATGTGCACAAATATTTGTTTCCCCCAACTGTCTCTCTCTCTCTCTCTCTCTCTCTCTCTCTCTATATATATATATATATATATATATATATATATATATATATATATATATATATATAATTATTTTTATAAAAAAATTTATAACATAAGTATGTTATAAAATCACTACAAAAATAGCCATTTTGTTTCAACACACTCTGTGTCTTATCAAGTGATGATGTTGAAAAGAAAATAAATGGTTTTAAAAGTTTCAGATTAATTAACGATCCTACACTAGGGGGAAAACATTGTTACAAAAGCTAGAATAACCAATCAAAAACGAAGTATAGAAAGATTCAAAAGCTTGACAACGAAATCATGCTATAATGGCTTTTCAGATCTTTAAATACGTGTAATATTAAAAATAATTTATACTAACTAATAATTATAAAATTATATGATAAAATTTAATATTAAAATTAAAAACTGGCAATTTTAAAATCCAAATTTAATCACTATTAAGTTTAAAAACTACAAAATTATTGAGAAAAGAAAAAATATATATGTTTATTCAATTCATTTCTTCATTGAAATTACGTTCGACAAGACGCTACAATACATCCGGTCATTTGACAATACATGTGTATATATTTTTTTCTTTGCCCTTTCTTTTCCGTTTTTATTTTAAAGTTTGTGAATGTGGTCTTAAACTCACGCGTAAAACAACAAAAACACAATCAGATTATAATACATAAGCACCCAGACATAATTAGATATACACACCCACACATACACACACACACACACACGCACACACACAAACACACACACAAACACACACACTAAATATATATATAATGAAATGGATTAAGTATAATGGATTTGTATAAACAGAAATATATATATATTAATTCTCGGTAGTAGATGCGCACTGCTGATGAGTCCCAAATATAAGACGAAACGGCCGTCCAGTGCTTTCTGCATTCTGTTGAGATTTCTATCAGACTCGATGAATTACTTAAATATAATTATCAAATCCTTCTAATAATTTCTATCATATACATCATAGCTTGAACCGGCTTCTAATGCTCTAGATTGAGCGGCTTGGTGAGAGTAGTCGTGGCCCCAGGGGGCACAGTCCTATGGTTACAGAGAACTCTGTAAGAGTTCCACCAGGGAATATGTGAGCGAGCGGCGCTATATTGAGTCTGATTTGGAATCTCTTCGTCACCGAGTCACATTGGAACAGTTGGTATGATGTTTGCTTAACAACTTAACTGTCAGGGTTTCAATTCTCGGTAGTGGATGCGCACTGCTGATGAGTCCCAAATATAGGACGAAACGGCCGTCCAGTGCTTTCTGCATTCTGTTGAGGTTTCTTCTAGACTCGATGAATTACTTGATTATATATATATATAGTCATTTCATCCTAAGCAAGGCAATAAAGCCACTCAGACGCCAGGGGTTAGAGAATATGAGAAAAATATTATCAAGACGAGAGACCAATAAAAGAACAGGAATTGAGGAAAGACGACGAGATTAACATTGCATTTACATTTTTGAAGATCAAATTTGAATGCGAAACAAGAACTCAGAAGTGAGTTCCACAAGCAAGAAGTGCGATAGAAGAAACTGTTATTATAAAAGTTATGGTTACATCTAACCATGACAACAGTAAAATGATGTGACCTTGCCACCAATGTGGTACTGCAATTAAATTAATAAAGTCTAGGTATCATAGAGGAAAGTTCATCAGAATAATTAGCATGAATTTTTTTTATATATAGAAAAGGCACAGGGAAGTTAGATTAAAGAAAACGACTGAAGGCGAGATGCTAGGTCAAGACAATTAACATTTCATACCTACTGATGTAAAATAGAAGAAACTGTTAGCATAGAACTTACGGTTACATCTAGACAAATCGGCTGTAAATTAACGAGACCTTGCAGCCAAACTAGTACTGCGTTTAAATTCATAAAATCTAGGAATCATTGCAAAGAGTTCACCGAACAATTACCATGAAAGTATATATATATATATATATATATATATATATATATATATATATATATAGAGAGAGAGAGAGAGAGAGAGAGAGACAACAAAAGGAGGGTAGATTATGGCAGTGGGAAAGTGCTAAGTCAGACCAGCAATATTGCTGATTCTTCTTAGGATTTTATCAAGAATTTCTACATATACAGCAAGGGCAGCGGACCATATGTGGCAGCAATATTCAAAGCATGGCCGAATGGTAGACTTATAAATATGTAAGATAGACTCTGGAGATAAGAATTTCCCCTTTTCTAAGGAAAGCACATGCTCTTCATCCAGATTATTTAATCGAAAGCTTTAGATCTACTCATTTTCTTATCCGAGACGTAAACAAAGCAATGTCTAAATAATTAATGGATTTTACTTTTTAATTCGACATATTTTTATTACTTGAATCAATGTTTAATAACTAATTAAAAATGGGGCGTATATTTAAAATACGAAGTAACCACTGTGATAATCTTGTCAGTACTTATAATGTTGGATTTAAAATAAAATCTAGTGATTCGATATAAATTGACTTATGTTTCGGATATGTTGGAATCATATTTTAAATAAATAAATAAATAAATATATATATATATATATATATATATATATATATATATATATATATATGCAAATGTAAAAGAACGATTAGTAAGATTTCAGCGTCCAAAACATTAATTTAAAACAGGGCACAATACGAAAGTAAAGTAATAAATATTTATTTATTATGCAGTGTTACATTAGAATATGTACATACCCACTACAAAACTGTACATCTTGTGTCAAATTTAAAAAAAAAAATTTAACGTTTCATCAGGTGGAAAGTCATGATGCTACTTAAATATTTTATTCCGAAATGGAGTTATCGAAGCACATGTTCCACTTCTGTCACTGGAATGTTTTCCATAAAAGGTAAAAGGTAAAAAAAAAATTACATGTGGAGAAAGAAAAGAAGCTAAGTGCTTAGTAACAGTGAGGGGGGAGAAGAGAAATAAGTAGGAAAAAGGCCAGGAAAAGGAAAATAAAGGTTGAGAAAAAGAGAGAAAGAGAGAGGGAAAGGACAGAGAGAGAAGACAGAGAGATAGATAGACTACTAGTGACTAACTGAAACTATTTTATCAGTGCCCAGGAAACCAGTTTACATCTAAAAGGTTCTCAAAACCAAAACTCGACTTTTATCACGAATATAAGTCTTGTAGATGTCGAAATGTATTTGTCTGATTGTAAAGGTAAATTGGTGAGTTTATTAATTTGATTGAGCTTTTTAATGGAGCCAGTCTCTTAACTTTATCAAAGTTAGAGAGTCGAGATAAATAGATAATGACATTTTCTAATAAAACGTCTTCGTCTTTACGTCAATCTCGTCGTTGGCTGACGTTTTAATTTATGCGTCTCTCGAAGTATATAATGAACAGACTAATGTAGGCTTGCCAGATTTTGTACGGGCGGGAATATGTTCAATAAGGAAGCGCTTGCCCGGATCTCTGCTTGCCGAAAAAATCAGCATTCGAAATCAAGACATTGAGCTTATCTTCGAACACGGATATCTAGCAATCAAGGAAGCCATAGCTACATCTGTCAGACACACACACACCAACATATATATATATATATATAGGTAACTATACTCGTTTCGAAAAAGCTTCGAATTTTTGATTTGCCAATAATCAAATCAATCTCGAAGGAAAAAAAGTTTTTAAAAAAAGAAAGAGCTAGAAACATGAAAGTCTGTCGAAAAAAATCGCACAGATACAGGAAAGAAAGAACCCCGACACGAGTAAACAACTAACTAAAAAGAGCTCGATACAACCGTAGAGCAGACCTAGAAATTTAGGAGGCCAGACAAACCTACCCAGGTTTCACCCCTAAGCGGGATCGTCGGGAAAGCTGACGATCCGCTTAGGTGAAACCTGGGTAGGTTTGTCTGGCTCATTAGGTTTATCTATAGATAGATAGATAGATAGATAGATAGATAGATAGATAGATAGATAGATAGAGATAGAGATATTAAATCCGACAGATTTTTTTTGATTTAGTAGTTTAAATGTTATATTTAAATGGATGTATATTCAAATAAATCTTATTAAATTCCGCCGATAACGTCTTTCTATCACCTTATTATATATTTCTACTTTTCGAAATTGTACATCGGGTTTGAAGTCACGAATAAATTTTCAATAATTCATGTTATTTTCCTCTTTATATACAAGTATTTCGACAATTTCGAAAGTACTTGATTATGTCATGAAAATTTTGTTTCAAGATTTGTTTAAATCTTTGCTGCCTTTTTTAATCATTTCACTTTAAGCAAATCGTTAATGCCACTAGTAAACAGGGGTTTACAGGGAGTGAAAGTGAAAGAAGATGAGAGGGAGTGAAAGAGAATGAGAGAGGTAGTGAAAGAGAATGGCAGGTACACAAAGTGAAAGAGAATGAGAGGAGGTGAAAGAGAATGAGAGAGAATGAGAGAGAATGAGAGGGTGTGAAAATGAAAGAGAATGACAAAGAGTGAAAGAGAATGTGAGGGAGTGAAAGAGAATCAGAGGGAATGAAAGCGAACGAGAGGTGGGTGAAAATGAAAGAGAATGAGAGGGAGTGAAAGTGAAAGAGAATGAAAGGGAATGAAAGAGAATGAGAGGGTGTGAAAGAGAATGAGAAAGAGAGTGAAAGTGAATGAGAATGAGAAAGAGTGAAAGAGAATGCGAGAGAGTAAAAGAGAATGTGAGGCAGTGAAAGAGAATGAGAGGGAATGAAAGAGAACGAGAGGTGGGTGAAAATGAATGAGAATGAGAGGGAGTGAAAGAGAATGAGAGAAATTGAAAGAGAATGTGAGAGAGTGAAAGTGAAAGAGAATGAGAGGAAATGAAAGAGAATGAGAGGGAGTGAAAGAGAATGAGAGAAATTGAAAGAGAATGTGAGAGAGTGAAAGTGAAGGAGAATGAGAGGAAATGAAAGAGAATGAGAGGGAGTGAAAGAGAATGAGAGAAATTGAAAGAGAATGAGAGAGTGGAAAGTGAAAGAGAATGAGAGGAAATGAAAGAGAATGAGAGGGAGTGAAAGAGAATGAGAGAAATTGAAAGAGAATGTGAGAGAGTGAAAGTGAAAGAGAATGAGAGGGAATGAAAGAGAATGAGAGGGAGTGAAAGAGAATGAGAAAGAGAGTGAAAGTGAAAGAGAATGAGAGGAAATGAAAGAGAATGAGGAGTGAAAATGAAAGAGAATGAGAGGGAGTGAAAGAGAATGAGAAAGAGAGTAAAAGTGAAAGAGAATGAGAGGGAGTAAAATAGAATGAGTGAGAGTGAAAGCGAAGATAATTTTGGTTTATTTTAACAGCATTTGTGGAAAATATTTTTTTGTTAACCACTTATTTTAATTGCCGACATTAAGCATTTAAACTAATCTTTTCCCTTTTTCCTTGTGGGCAATATTCCTTGTGCCGCAATAAAAGTAGAGAATTTTCTTGCGTTATTTTTTTTTTTTTATTGCTGGCCATCTGAATTTACGAAGATATAAGATTTAAGGCAGTTGATTCCCTTAGCCAGAAAGAAAACTGCGTAAAAACAAAAGAATTTAGAAAAAACCTTTGTCTCGTGTTTCAAAAGACATACAAGATTCAGCCAGTTATCCATGCATTCTATCCAATGGCACAAGAGACGAAAGTTATGTGCAAAAATAGCATTAAGAAACTTACTTAATATCTATAACTTAGATAAATCTTTTTATGGATGTATCGGCTCTTTTCAGGGCCAAGTTATGCAATGATTCTGGGACATGTACCAAATATTTGAAATTGCAAGATTTGAAAAAATATATATTCGGTTCATTATGAAACTGAATTGAGACTGTCTTTACTTTAGATTACCTACTCTTTTCAGGGCGAAGTTGTGTAAAATACTTCGTAAGATATGTACTAACTTTTGAAAGGTATGTAAAAACAATGTCTGTAAGGTCCTAGAAGTGGGATATTAATGTCTAATGGTTCATAAAAAAATGATTGTATAAACGCTGACATTTCTGTTGATGTCAAAATTTTGAATCATTTTTCGTTTATTGCAAAGGAGAAAAAGAAAAAACTGTTTGATAAAAAAAAAATAGTTTATTAAAACACTGTTAAGTGTCTAAAAATCCTCAGCACAATAATATATTTGTGCAATCGGGATATTAATGTTATTCCTTGTGTAAAAATCGACATTGATTTTTATTGTAACGTTTATTTTTATACTTGTTCTTTTACTGAGAATTGTAAAAACATTTTCTTCTTTGAATCAAAACAAACTTTGATCAGTCTCTTCCATTTTTTCTCCTTTATTTTTCTTCATTGCGACAACATGTAAAAAAAACAGGCACACATATACAGAGTGCGATGGGTAAATTGTCGCAATCTTATATTTTTAATTTCGCGCATGCGCGTTTTGTTTTTTTTTTTGTTTTTTTTTTTTAGTTTGTCGACGGCACGATGTAGGAGGATCAATTGGACACCGTCTGTGTGAAAAAGAACACCATGACGCAATTCACTGCGCCAAAAATTTGGAAACGGTATGTCGTAGCGCTTGGCATTCACGCGGAAGCTCCAATGCGAATATTTCAGAGTGTTTGGGTGTCAATCTGAGGAAAATGAGGAGAATTCAGAAAGAGTTGAATGAATCTAATAGTGATTACGAAGGTACGGTAGCTCTGAAAACCCACTCTGAGCGTTTGAATGAGAAAAGAACTCCCGAATTTGTAGGTGATGGCCTCACACTGGACACGGAGGCTTACATCAAGTACCTTGAGAAAGTAGTGCTACCCTTGGTCAAAAGGGAAGACCCTATGTCTGGCAACAGGACACTGCACTATGCAAACAGGAGAACACAGTCGTGGTTGTAAGACAATTTCTGCTATTCCATCGACCCTTATATATGTACACATAACTCCCTAGACTGCCAGCCATTTGATTATTATGTGTGGGGCACAGCTGAGCGAGAGACCAAGAAAACTCCTTTAACACCAAAGATGAACTGAAGGCAAGGAGACCGTCAAGAAGAGTTGCAAGAGATTTCGAAGTCGTTTGGAAGCAGTGGTTAAAGACAATGGTGGTTTTATGAAATAAATTCACTTTTTAGTATTTCAAGATAGTTTGTGTAATTTTGGTAAATATATATGTTAAAATGAGATGTCAATTTTATTTAAATTTTTTACATAATTTAGGCGACAATTTATCCATTACACCATATATATATATATATATATATATATATATATATATATATATGGAGGGCAACTTTTGCGTTAACTTTATTGTGTTTTCTTGAACAAATTTATGATTCAGATACTAAAACGAACAAAGTGCAATTTATATATATTCATAGATTTGAGGATAGATAGATAGATAGATAGATAGATAACATCTTTAGATAGATAGATAGATAGATATTTTTGTCAAATAAAGTACTCAATAGTAAAGTATAGAGCAACAGTAGTGAATAGATAAATACAAATTTGTACATATTCGTATATTTGACGATGAGAAATGTAATAATAGATAGATAATTAACATCCTTAGATAGATAGATAGATAGATAGATAGATAGATAGATAGATAGATAGATAGATAGATAATTAATATCCTTAGATAGATAGATAGATAGATAGATAGATAGATAGATAGATAATTAACATATTTAGATAGATAGATAGATAGATAGATAGATAGATAGATAATTAACATCTTTAGATAGATAGATAGATAGATAGATAGATAGATAGATAGATAGATAATTAACATCTTTAGATAGATAGATAGATATGAATAAACTAAGATACTAAAATAGAGAACAACAGTAGTGTAGTAGAGTAGTGAATACAAATTCAAATGACTTGTCTTTCAAATTGGAGTTTCGCCCAACTTTTGATATTACGATAATTTAAATGTTTCTGATATTGAAGTAACTGTTTTATCTTTCTAAATATTTAATGCGCATATTTCTAAAAATGTCTATATAAATGCCTTTTGCAAGCTTAAAATTCTGAAGTGAATAATCGACCATTTCACATTCAATGTTGTCACGTTATAACTATTGATTTTGTTGATGTCAGTAATTAACATCTTTATTTAATGTATTTAAATTAATTATTAATTAAGTAACTGTTAATTAATTGAATAGATTAATCTTATCCTAAGAGCGGATCTATTCAACGAATCATCAATTCAGAACATCCGTTGTTTGATCTATTCTGTTACAAGTTAATTGAGGTTACATATAGATTAAATATTAATTAGAATCTGGCAGAATGATAGGGTCATTAAAAAATAAGAAGTGCTTATAAATCTAATATAAATCTCACTTTTATTATAGCTTCATCAGAGAATGAAATATGTAGGAGGAAATGAATTCTGTTATTTTAAATGTTTGTCTTTCATTGGTTAAACAGACTACACGTGCATCTATTTGTTAAGCAGCGTCGTTGAGCATTACCGTAATTCCCCATGTATAATATGACTTCATCCATAATACGCACCTCTAAAATTGCGCTGAAAATGTGGGAAAATGCTTCTACTCACACATAATTCACACCAATTTCATTACGGCCAGCGATTCCTACTCTTCTTCAAGCTGTAATTGAAGATATTTATAAAATTTCCGATCTTCACGATTCAAAAAGGAAATGGAAATACCTAAATTGTGCCCACTGCGCAGACTCATTAACCTGTTTTTGTTCGATAAGATGTGAAATCTACCGGATCTGTATGTAGTTCGAGTTACTTATACATAACTCGAGTTTGCTTAATAGTTATATTATATATATATATATATATATATATATATATATATATATATATATATATAAAAACGTGAGTTGTGCTTAAAAAGTAGACAGAACATCAGTTAGTCTGAGAAATATTTAACAAAGAATAAAATGAGTAAAGAACAAAGAAATCAATTCAATGAAATTTATCGGTCTTGATCATGAGTTTTTGATTTTTTTGTTGTTGTTGTTTAGTAATCAGACCATCTAAATTATACCTCTCCAATTTATTCAAGTTGCAATTGAAGATATTTATCAAAATTTCCGATCATTACGATTCTAAAAGGAAACGGAAATACCTATATTGTGCCTACTGCGCAGACTCATTAATCTGTTTTTGTTAGATAAAATGTGCAATCTACCGGATCTGTATGTAGTTTTCCACAAAAATGGTTTTAAACATTGAATAATATTATTCTAATTTAGTTTTATGATAATTCTTATTTTATTTTACATTCGTAAGTATTGCTAGGTACATATGATTGTATTTAACATACTTATTGGGTCGCAAACGCCAAATGTTAGTGTCAAATTGTCGTATGTTTGTTGTGAGTAGTCATTTCGTAACTGAAATTGACCTATGAAACGACAAGTTTTAAAGATTTTCTTTGTAGCTGTAAATAATATCCACCCCTAATTTTGCTTAGAAATGTTTTAGAAAAAATGCTTATTATACAGGGGGATTTACAGTATTCATCTGTGTATGTCTATCATAATTCAAGTTTGTCTATACGAAATTCGGTTGATAATGTATATTTGCTTGTGTCTGTCTGTGCTGTAAGCATTCATATTTATGTTTGGCTGATTTAGCTGTATTTTGTGAGAGGATTCACATAGTTTACGTTACTCCGGTTTTAGTAATAGGGAGACATATCCAAGACATAACTAGAATTAGGATACATATTTACACACAAGAAATTACATAGACGAACTCTGCTTGAAAAGGCAGATTCGCGTGAAATCTGCTTAACCAATGAAAAGAAGCCAATAAATAGATGCCCGCTGGTTTGCAGCCGTTACGAATTTTGAAATAAATATGAGGAAGGCAAAAGTATGTATACATAATAAAAATATAATTATTATTATTTTGAAAACATAATCTAGAAAAAAATAAAACTACCTGCTCAAAAAGGAGCTATCCATATTGCATATTTCAGTAAATATGAATATCCGTAAGCAGATAATTGATGTTTGTTTATTATGGGGATGGCCTTCACCTTTGATGATTGTAACAGTAAAAATACTTGTGGCGGGGCCAACGAGAAAGTTAACCCCGCAAGTAAAATGTATGGAAAAAAATGTGACTTACAACACAAGACAAGAAAGAGAGAAACCAAAGGTTAAGTTATATGCCAAATGTTATTTCGGCACGACAATGAATAAAAATCCTGTGTGGTGTTGGAGATGAGGTAAAAGTCGTCTCTGGGTCAGAGAGGCTTCGGAATTTGTAATCCAGTTGAATGAAAGCAGAGTTTCTGGCAGGACGTAGGTCCGCTAGTGATGCTAAGGACGAAGGCGAATCAGTCGTGGGTCTGCGAATGATGATAAAGGCGGAGGCTGGGAAGTCGTGGGTCCGCTGGAGATGATGAGGACGAAGGCATAGTAGCGACGACGACGGCGAATCAGTCGTGGGTCTGCGAATGATGATGAAGGCGGAAACTGGACAGTCGTGGGCCGCTGGAGATGATGAGGACGAAGGCGTAGTAGCGACGACGACGGCGAATCAGTCGTGGGTACGCGAATGATGATGTAGGCGGAGGCTGGACAGTCGTGGGTCCATGGAGATGATGAGGACGAAGGCGTAGTAGCGACGACGACGGCGAATCAGTCGTGGGTCCGCGAATGATGATGAAGGCGGAGGCTGGTCAGTCGTGGGTCCTCTGGAGATGATGAGGACGAATGCGTAGTAGCGACGACGACGGCTACGGCTGCTGCTGCTACTGCTGGCGTATATGACGCCTGTAGTGGCTACAACGACTACGGCTACTGCTGCTGCGGCGACAGGGAGGTAGGGGGTTTACATCTGCTCGACCACGTGGTCCTCGTGCGGTGTTTACTCATTCCCCCCGCCCCACGAGAAAGAGATGTGACACAAGGTTGGATTAATGTGGGCACCCGAGCGCGTGCACCCGGGTAGGGACAAAAATTCCCCTCAGCCCCCGCAACCGTCGGTTGCGCTGGCCTCGGTGCGAGCACCGATCCCTCCCTCTTGTGCAATGGGAGGGCGCGGCATCGGGAAGCTGTTCCCCAGGGCTGGGCACCTCTTCAGTATAATTTTCCTCAGTTGTCCATCTGTCCTTTGACAGAGAAGCCCCTGAGCACACTCTGTCCAAGGACAGAGACGCAACTGAGAGACAGTAAGTAGACGTGAAAACCCTCCAAATGGGAAAAGTGTTGTTGCTCTCATATCAGTGGGTGCCGGTCAGAGACACGGGTCCTAAATATTGCTTATTATTATTATTATTATTATTATTATTAAATGAATTCTGTCATCATCGTTATTCAGGCGTATGTTGTTAGGGCAATTGTATTAATTATGGTCCCCGGGGAAAAGACTAAAACTACCTCCCCAGCACCTTACAAGTCGATGATGCTGTTTTCCTTTAGGAATATATCTTTCCGAGATATAAAATAATACTGCTGCTCGCAGTCCTCAATTTGGGAAGACTCGCCATTTCCCGTTCGTGGAACATGTCATCGGTGAGGACATAGATCAATCCGACTCATTTGAATTTGGAGTCCCGAACATGGCCTCTCCAGGTACAGAAGTATCTCCATATTATATGTAAGACCATTCCTTTTTGTTTCTCCTTACTCTCTGCTTTGCTGTGTAGATATATGTGATATATTATTCTTCGTGATGGATATATATATATATATATATATATATATATATATATATATATATATATTATAAATGTTTTAAAATGTATGTCTTTGTATAAAAGTCCATCTGAGGATAAAACCTGTTTGTCATTCTTTTTCCTTTCAGCCATCCCGTTCCGTCCGTGAAGTACAGTGTTATTATATCACAGACATAATAATGAGAAAAAAAAAACAATGCCTATAACGAGGGAAATAAAAATGGGAGAATGAATTTTGTTTTATGTGATTAATACTAATTGTTCCAATAAGATGTATTGCAAATACAAATTATAATACATGTAATGTTAATAAATAAACGGAAATTTCTGTTCTTCCGTGTATCTGAAACCCGACTAACTCGGGCCACATAGACGTAGAGGTTGATATGCCGCTAAACAAAATCAACCAACCAAACCTATTTAGAGACATAAACATATTATTCCTTTTTGGCCTCAGGACGATCCCGGGGTCGAAAAGCTTCCAGTCAACTGGTGCTTGAACATCCAGAATTAGAATTTTTGTCCAGAGGGGAAAGGAACAGTTAAAAATTCAAATTTTAAAATAACTGAAAAACAAAATGATTTTAAAAGATTTTCCATTTATATTGGGTATAAAGTAGCACAACGATTTTGTTAATTTCGAAACTTTTTGCTTTAAATTCAGTTTAAAATATCTCAAAGACTTTTTTGAAATTAGGAAAGCAATCTTATTTCTTCAAAATGCCAAAGAATCAGAGTTAATGTGAGAGGTTTCGTGTGGCGAGGTTTTGAAGTGCCACAGAATTTTTGCTTTGCTCTTATTGAATTAGTCTCCCGTAGCCAAATTAGTAGCGACATGTTTCAGCAATAGAAGCGGTGTCCTTGATTGAGAATGTGATGCAGGTTCGATTCCCGTCGGCGCAGTTTTTCTTTTGATAAATATTTTGGTCGAGATATTTTTATTGATTTCAGTGTTTAAGACAAAAAATCAGGGAAAGCATCTCAAACACATGTACCCCAAAATTGCATTTATATATATATATATATATATATATATATATATATATATATATATATATATATATATATATATATATATATATATATAGTCATCCACATCAGGAGGCTACACAAACTGATTGCTTCAAGCCTGGATTGAAACTCAAACGATTTGCTTTCAGTCGGAGATTCTACCCCTAAGCTATCGGCGCACGACAGAGGGGAGGTAAATTTTTAACGTATTATATACGTGATGTATATAAAACACCATATATATTAGGTTTGCAAAAATAATGACGTAATAATGTCGTTTTTTGACGTATTTTTTAACGTCAAAAAACGACATTATTACGTCATTATTTTTTTTAAAACTAAATATATATATATATATATATATATATATATATATATATATATGACTATCACAACTATGTTAGCTCTATCACGGATATTGAGCACTTTCCAATAAGTGACGCACATATAGAATATATATAGAAATTACATATATATATATATATATATATATATATATATCCATGCTCTGTCACAGGTCAGTGTATCCTTCACAGGTCAGTGTAAATCGATAAACATGTTTCTGATTCTAAATCTCACGCATTAAATGTATGCCGTATCCCAGAGATTATTAAATAATTCACCAACGGGGATTGAAATCTGCAGAAAGCCTGACATAAAAGTTCCCATAAAGAACACGGGAATCTCCCTTAAGATACAAAATGGCGTTTAGGAATATATTCGCTTCTCATATTTTGATCGAGTTCTTTCAAGGTCAGGTTTGATATCGTAGTGTCCATTTGTTTTTACGGGTAATTACTGGGGTTACCCAAGAGCACTAACACTCCGGAGGCTCCTCTTGACCCGGCCTTAACCTTTGGAACAGCGTTGCAGGAAATCCAATAATCGACAGAATATGACCACTAAAACAAATGTAATAACATTTCTTGTTCTTCTACCATATTTCCTCAGTCTTCTTTTTATCTATCTTTCTTCCTTTCTTTCTTTCTACATCACTGCTTCTTCTTGCTTCATTTTCTTTTGCTTGTTTTTTTTTTGTCGTTTTTTTTTTTTTGCATTTTATTTTTCTTTTCTCTCTAAATTCCTTTTTCATTTTCTCGTTTTTGTCTTTCCTTTCTTTTCTTTTTGTTTAGTCTTTGCTTACTTTCCTCTCATCTACTTTTTATTTAACCACTCTTTTTTCTTCTTCTTCTTCTTCTTTTTCTTCTTCTTCTTCTTTTTCTTCTTTTTCTTCTTCTTTTTCTTCTTCTTCTTCTTCTTTTTCTTCTTCTTCTTTTTCTTCTTTTTCTTCTTCTTTTTCTTCTTCTTTTTTCTTCTTCTTCTTTTTCTTCTTCTTCTTTTTCTTCAAATTCTTCTTCTTCTTCTTCTTCAAATTGTTCTTCAAATTCTTCTTCAATTTCTCTTTTTCTAATTCTCCATCTTCAAATTCTTCTTCAAATTATTGCTATTCTTGAAAGTCTACTTCTTAAAAAAAATTCTTCAGATACGTCTTTATTTTAAAAACCATCTTAAAATTCTTCTTCTTAAAATTTTTCTTAATATTCTTGCATTCAGATTTCTTCTCACGCATCTTCATCTTTTACTTCTTCCTCAAATTCTTACAATTCTTTTTCAAATTTCTTCTTCTTCTTCTACTACTACTAATACTACTACTAATTCTGCTTCTTTTTCTTCTTCTTCAAATTCTTTTTTCTAATTCTCCATCTTCAAATACTTCTTCAAATTGTTCCTATATTAAAAGTCTTCTTTTTCAAATTCTTCAAATTCCTCTTCATAAAATTCTTGCATTCAGAATTATTCTCCCGCTTGTTCATCTTTGCACTTTTCTCCTTCCCGCGTCATTTTCTCTTTTCTTCTTCCTTTGCACTTTTCTCCTTCACGTGTCATTTTCTCTTTTCTTCTTCCTTTGCACTTTTCTCCTTCCGGTGTCATTTTCTTTTTTCTTCTTCCTTTGCAGTTTTCTCCTTCACGTGTCATTTTCTCTTTTCTTCTTCTTTGCAGTTTTCTCTTTCCCGTCTCATTTTCTCTTTTCTTCTTCCTTTGCCTTTTTCTCCTTCCTGTCTCATTTTCTTTTTTCTTCTTCCTTTGCAGTTTTCTCCTTCCCGTCTCATTTTCTCCTTTCTTCTTCCTTTGCACTTTTCCCCTTCCCGTCTAATTTTCTCCTTTCTTCTTCCTTTGCACTTTTCTCCTTCCCGTCTCATTTTCTCTTTTCTTCTTCATTTGCACTTTTCTCCTTCACGTGTCATTTTCTCTTTTCTTCTTCATTTGCACTTTTCTCCTTCCCGCGTCATTTTCTCTTTTCTTCTTCATTTGCACTTTTCTCCTTCCCGTCTCATTTTCTCTTTTCTTCTTCCTTTGCACTTTTCCCCTTCCCGTCTCATTTTCTCTTTTCTTCTTCCTTTGCACTTTTCTCCTTCCCGTCTCATTTTCTCTTTTCTTCTTCATTTGCACTTTTCTCCTTCCCGTCTAATTTTCTCCTTTCTTCTTCCTTTGCACTTTTCTCCTTCCCGTCTCATTTTCTCTTTTCTTCTTCATTTGCACTTTTCTCCTTCACGTGTCATTTTCTCTTTTCTTCTTCATTTGCACTTTTCTTCTTCCCGTCTCATTTTCTCTTTTCTTCTTCATTTGCACTTTTCTCCTTCACGTGTCATTTTCTCTTTTCTTCTTCCTTTGCACTTTTCTCCTTCCCGTCTCATTTTCTCCTTTCTTCTTCCTTTGCAGTTTTCTCCTTCCCGTCTCATTTTCTCTTTTCTTCTTCATTTGCACTTTTCTCCTTCCCGTCTCATTTTCTCTTTTCTTCTATCTTTGCACTTTTCTCCTTCCCGTCTCATTTTCTCTTTTCTTCTATCTTTGCACTTTTCTCCTTCCCGTCTCATTTTCTCTTTTCTTCTTCCTTTGCACTTTTCTCCTTCACGTGTCATTTTCTCTTTTCTTCTTCCTTTGCACTTTTCTCCTTCCCGTCTCATTTTCTCCTTTCTTCTTCCTTTGCAGTTTTCTCCTTCCCGTCTCATTTTCTCTTTTCTTCTTCATTTGCACTTTTCTCCTTCACGTGTCATTTTCTCTTTTCTTCTTCCTTTGATTTTTCTCCTTCCTGTCTCATTTTTCCTTTCTTCTTCCTTTTGCAGTTTTCTCCTTCCCGTCTCATTTTTCTTTTCTTCTTCATTTGCACTTTTCTCCTTCCCGTCTCATTTTTTCTTTTTCTTCTATCTTTTTTCTTTTCTCCTTCCGTCTCATTTTTCTTTTCTTCTATCTTTGCACTTTTTCTCCTTCCTGTCTCATTTTCTCTTTTCTTCTTCCTTTTGCACTTTTCCCCTTCCGTCTCATTTTTCTTCTTTTCTTCTTCCTTGCACTTTTCTCCTTCCTGTCTCATTTTCTTTTTTTCTTCTTCATTTGCACTTTTCTCCTTCCTGTCTCATTTTCTTTTTCTTCTTCCTTTGCACTTTTCCCTTCCTGTCTCATTTTCTCTTTTCTTCTTCCTTTTGCACTTTTCTCCTTCCCGTCTCATTTTCTCTTTTCTTCTTCCTTTGCACTTTTCCCCTTCCGTCTCATTTTTCTCTTTTCTTCTTCCTTTTTTTTTCCCTTCCCGTCTCATTTTTTCTTTTCTTCTTCCTTTTACTTTTCTCCTTCCCGTCTCATTTTCTCTTTTCTTCTTCCTTTGCACTTTTCTTCTTCCCGTCTTATTCTCTTCTTTTTTCTCCTTTAGCTTTGTTATTTGAATCCTCTTGTCTTTTGTCTTCCCTTTCTCTCGTCTCTTTCTTCTGTTTTCATTCACTTTTCTTAATGTATCTTTTATTAATATTATTCTAACATTTTCCATCTTCTCCTTCCTTGCTTCTTCTTTCGTTTTTTTTTTCTTTTCTTCTTTCATTGTCCTCTAATATTATTATATTTCTTTTTCTTTTCTCATGCATTGTTTGCCCTCAATGTTTTTTTCCAATCTTGTTTGTCTTCCATAATTATTTTTTTTCTTTTCCATTCTTCTTCTTCTTCTTCTTCTTCTTATTCTTCTTCTTCTTCTTCTTTCCCATCATCATCATCTGGTCACATTGCCGAATCGCTTTGTTCCGCTCCTTTTCTCGCTTCTCTTTCTTTCCCACGAGCTGAAACGCCGGCGGCTACTTCCATCTCCGCAATTCCAGCTTTCTCCATGATTAGCTCCTTCCAAAACCCAGAAGTTGATTTATACCCTGGCGTGTGCGTCTGGCGCTAAGATTCCAATCTGATTTGATGTTCGTCAAAGCCAATTTGATACAGTTAAATAATAATAAGAATAATAATAATAATAATAATAATCGCGTTGTACCAGCTGACATCAAAAACAGAAAAAGAATGGAGACAAAGGAAATTATCTGGACTTTCGAAAGAATTGGAAAAATATGGCACATGACGGTAACAGTTATGGCAATCATTGTTAACTCGTTTCGAAACTCTCTCGAAGAGTTTTGCAAAGAGATTGGAAGATTGGAAATAGCAAATCCAGACGACTGCATTACAATCATCTGTTGTTCTGTTTCTGAAGAAAGGTGACCCGTTGCATTCCTTACGAATTGTACACAAGGATAAGGCTGCAGAATAAAACCACCAAAACACTAGTGCTTTGAAAAAACAACATAAATAAGCCGAAAATAATCTACAACTTATTATACCAAACTAAAACTAATATACCTCTAAAAAAAAATTGATTTATTTACAATTTTTTCTTTCAATTTACTCAGATTTTTCTGTTCCAATTTAAATTCCTTGATTTAAACAACTCTCTTCTATAACATATTTCACAAAACCAACTGGGGCCGCCCATATTGCAAAATTCGTTCTGGGATAGGCCCCGTGTAACCTTATCGCTGTAAAGACTAATATGAACCCAATACTAAATATCTCACACGTAAAATGCTTCTTAATTCACCACCAGACTTGGTTATTTAATATCGTCCTAAAAGTTTGTGTGGGTCTGTGGATTACTCCGAATGTGGATCTCTCTCTCGAGAGAGAGAGAATGCACCAGACTTTCTCCCTCGAGAGAGAGAATGCACCAGTCTTTCTCTCTCGGGCGAGTCGATTATGCTTCTTCCTGTGACCCGTTTGTCTTAATTGTGCACACCCGAAGCGAAGCTGGTTCGACCACCTGTTTCTAGTCACTGACGCCATATGAGGCGCGAACATGCACTTAATGAGTGCGAGGATATCTTTCAGGAAACCCTCTGATGCACCTCGCATCTCTGATGATCTGGTGTGATGCTGAGTGCAAGGTCTATTTTTCTATCTCTTAAGGGGAGTTCACTACATATTAAGATCATTGTAGTATATATCTCTCCCAAAGCATGCCAGAATATGCATTGCACTCATAGTGATATCAGAGAAGCCGGGTGAATTGACGGGTTGGCCTGACAAATGACCTCCTGGCCGCCAAGTGCAGATCAGCGTATCATTGGATATTGGTAACTGCCTCGTTATGTGAACGCGTAATGGGCTCGCGTGGACAAGAACCATTCGAGAGAGATGAGAACAGTTTTTCTCTGACATCGCCAAGAACAGTGATTCAGAACCGCATACAAACACTGACCAAAAGTCTTGAGTCAATAGATTTGTTTGATTAGTTTTTACGGTTTTGCAGGTAATTTAAAGATAGAAAATACATTCACATGTTAAGAACCTTCAGGATATAATAATGACTTAACCAAAGATGCCTTCCAAAAGATAAGCGGTGTACTAAGAAACAGAAAAACTTCACTCGAAACAAGAAAAAGAGTAATAAAATGTTATGTGATATCAGTCCACTTCTGGGTGCTGGACGATGTTCTCAAAGATTTTTAAGAGACTTATAGCAACATAAATGTTGTTCTACCGGAGGATGCTGAGGATAACGTGGACCGGACATGTGATCAACGACGAAGTTTTAGAGAAAATTGAAACCAAAAAGAAACATATACTTAACATCATGAAGAGACAGTCGAGGTTTCTAAGCCACATAATGAGGAAGAAGGCTTGGGAAATCTGACACTCACAAGACAGACTAAAGGCACACGAGACAGAGGAAAGCAACACAATATATTTAGCGAGCTTCGGTAAATGGATGTCGGAACAGGGTTTACGAAAAATAACAGAAAGACAAAATGTATTACGTGCTGCAAGAGACAGGAACATTTGGAGAGGCATGATCACCTACGTCCTGAAGGGACACGGCGCATACAGAAGATACAACTCCTACTAATCAATCCATCATTTACCAAAGTAAGCTACTCTGATGACAAGAAATGGTTCTACTGAGAATGTTTAGTAGGAAAAGAAAAATGGACATGTACTTAGATTGGTGGTTTGGTTGTTTTCTCTAGCGATATGTCACATGGGTTATTTAATGCCGAAATCTAAATATTTTGATTGGCTTGGTTGGTTGATTTTGTTTAGCGGCATATCAACACCTCTATGGGTTATTTAATGCCGAAATCTAAATATTTTGATTGGCTTAGTTGGTTGATTTTGTTTAGCGGCATATCAACACTTCTATGGGTTATTTAATGCCGAAATCTAAATATTTTGATTGGTTTGGTTGGTTGATTTTGTTTAGCGGCATATCAACCGCCATGGGTTTGTGACACTATTTAGGGATGCAAGGAAAAGGAAGAAAAGAAGGGAAAGAAATGAAATTTTGATAATGAAAAATGGTGAAGGGTTTCATTGTCAGAAAAATGGCAAAGCCGT